CACAGCCCGCGTTGCGGCGTACACGCAGATGGGGCTCCAAGTCAGGGCTGAGCCGTTGTGACTTTGCTCGGAAGCGGCAAGGTCGCAGCAGAAGCATGGAAGCGACGCTCACGGCATCACCAGAAAAGGGCTGCAGCACCACGCTTCAATCTGTGGCAGAACTTTCCGCCCTGCGTCGCAGCACCGCGCGAGCGCGGTGGCTGCGCAGCAAGACGGACATCTCCTGCAAAAGTTCCGAATGCAGTCCCGATGGCGGGGCGTCTTCGCGCGCCGCCGCGGCCCGGGAAATGAGGAGGAGGATCTTCGCCGCCTCCGGCTCCCAGGCGCCAGTGGCCTCTGCAACCATGGGCACGAATTTGAGTCCCTGCTCAGCGCAGACCCGGGCGGTGCCCAAGTGCGACGACTTGACCTCTGCATAGGCGGTGGCGGCAGCCAGTGCCTGTTGACCAGCCCTGCCAAGGGACTCCTGCCGCTGTGGTGCTGTCACAGCTAGGTCAAGGGCAGCAGGAGTTCCATAGAGGGATGGCAAGTAGATGTCTGCAGGGCGTCGGTGAGCCACACGAGTGTCATCTGGACGTTGAGGTAGCAGAAGGCCCGGCTTCTCCAGCTCAGGGCGAAAACCCGCACGTTCGGCCCATGCGGCGAGCAGGTCACGCACAGCGTTGTGGCGTTGGGTGCGCTCCCCTCCCGCCACGCAGGTCCCGGCATGTAGTGAAAAACGGTCCAGCACTCCCTCACAGCAAGGGCAAAAGGCGTCGGCTGAGGCGTCAGCAAGACCAAGCCGCTGGCGAAGCTCGATGACGAATGCCGCAGCCTCCAGGCGTTTGCGGCCGCACGGCACTGCAGCCAACCACGCTCGCCCGCCGGGTTCGGCTTCGGAGTGAAGGACTGCGCGTCCAACAACTGAGGTTGACGCCAGCTGTTGCTGCCAACCTGCCTTGTCCAGAAGCACGGTGACGGACTTTTGCTTCATACCCAACAAGAGGTGGGGTGCCACAGGCTGCGGGAGTCGCAAGTTGACAGCAGCCGCAGCCTGAAGCACTGCAGCGTGGCTGGCGAGCCCAGTCGCTCCATAGTTGGCATCAAGCCCGCGACATGCCGTCGCACACCCCCCCACAGAGGCCAGATAGGCCGCCGGACCATCATTTGCTGTGGAGCGGAGGCCTAAACCAGCCTGTGCAAGTCCACGTGCCGCCTGAGCCCACTGGTTCGCATCAAGGTGAAGCCCCGTGAGGCCAGCAAAGCAGGCCCGCACCAGCGAATCGAACCTGTGGAGCTGAGAGGTTAAGGCCTGATGTGGTGTGCAGCGGATGCTGTGTATCAAGCGGCAGTGGCTCGCACAAGACCGGAGGAGCTTAACACCGACCTGGGGATCCTCCAGGTCCCCCAAAGCAGCCAGGAGGGGCTCGGCCTTAGAGATTCGGGCCGCCGTGTGGGCCGCGACGAAGTCATCATCGCCGATTGCTGCCCCCAGCAGCTCAAAGTTGCGCTGAGCCCGACTCTGGCCATCCGGGGAGCGAAGGAGCTCGGAGGGGAAGTGCGGGTGCAGGTCGGCGGCGGTGGTGCTGCCGGCAGTGATGGTCTCGCACTTAGAAAGGTTGAGCTGCAAGCCCAGGGATTCACCCCGTTGCTGGACGTGGGCTAGAGCGGCCGCCACAGCCGCCACATCACCAGCAAGGACGCCGTCATCAAGAAAGAAGACTGCCAAGTCCAGAGGACCTGTCTTGAGCTCCTGCGCAAGTGGTTGGAGAGCAGCCGCAAACAGCAACGGTCCCAGTGGGTCACCCTGCTGCACGCCTCCAGCCGACGGGATGGTAGTGGTGGCTCCAAACCGAAGGTTGGACGGCTGCTGATAGCACCATGCCACCCAGCGAGCCAAGCCCGGGAAGTGGGTGGTTGCGGCGGTCAGCACAGCTTGTCGGGAGACACGGTTAAAAGCATTAGCAAAGTCAAGTTTAACCAAAACTTTACCAGATGCAGTCTCGTGGCGTCCCATCCAAGCCCGGACAACGTGGATGACCGCCTCTGCGCCTGACGGGACCGCCACTCCCACCTGTGCTGGCCAGAGGTACCGTTTAGCGTCGTCACGCACCAGGTGCATGAGGCTTTTGCCAGTGAGCCGCCGCAGCACTTCGCCGATCGCGATCGGCCGCACACCACCTTTGGGCTTTGGCACTGCCACCAGGTCCGCGCCAGCCAGGACGGGGGCGACAGCGGCCAAGGCCTGACCACGAGCCAGGAGGTTGACCACAGCCGTCAGTTGCTCCATGAGGCTGAGGGCTGTGCCCGGCGGCCCCGCCTCACGCAGGTGCTGGACACGGAGACCACTTGGGCCTGGTGCCGTGTCGGCAGGGAAAGAGCGCAGAGCCCGGGCGACCTCATCCGCAGCAACCTCCAACGACAGCGGGAGCTCGCCGACAGTGACGGTTGGGGCAGCTTGAGCGGGATGCAAGGCACGCAAAGCGGCAGCAGTGGCCGGGGTGTCCTCGCTGAGACCCTCCGCTACCAGCGCGTTGCACGCTTTGCGCTCGAAGCCCTCCCGTGTAAGAGCGATGGCCAGCTCGCGGCGTTGCTCTGCAGTGGGTCCACGAGCGCTAGCGCTGCGTGGAGGCTGGTGACGGTCATCCCACAGTGTTTGGCGCTCACCCTCAAGCCAGCGCTGCAAGCGGTCCAGCGTGTAGGCCGCGGCCGCTTTGCGGTGCTTGCGGCCAGCGCGGGGTGGAGCACCCAAGACGCACTGTGGTAGCATCAGCAGCTCGCACCACGCCCTTTTGTCATTGTGGTGCGCGGCCGCGGCCAAGGCTCTGGTGAGCACCTTGCCCCACAGGTACCGGGCAGCCGTTGGCACGTGGCGGAGCGTGCGAGTTCTGCCCGCCTGGATTGTCTCAAAGCTGGGCAGCGGATGGCCATCGGCACCAGCACGCGGCTCGCCAGCGCCATCAACAGCATGTCTGGCGGCCGGTCGGCAGGTTGGGTGGATGCCATGCCGGGTCGACACACTGAGGCCGCACACCGTGCAGCGTTGTCGCCCCTGTGCCTGTAGCCATGCGGCCGGCACAGTCCCCGCGAGAGAGCCTGCCAAGTGGTTGTCAATATGATGTCGCATGGAGGCGACACTGGACCAACCAGGGCTGCGGGCCACATCAGCGCAAGGGCACCCACTGACAGGGCAGTGAACTCGGATGGCTGCAGCAGAGTCCACTTCCATGGAGGGGCTGCGAGCCCTCCGCCGTGCAGGACGTTCACCGCCCAGTGGCGTGCCAGGTTCAGGACCGGGTTGAGCTGCCTCGCCAACTCGCAAGCCCGCATACGGTCTGCCAGACCACCGTGGGCCGGGTATGCGCGACCTGCGCCAGCGAGCCTGGGGCCGTCGAAAGAGCAGGCGACATCTATGACGGCGCATGGTAGGGCTGGCGGGCGTCCACAAGCCCGCGAGGGGGCTCCACACACGCTCCACCACAACCGATGAGGTGTTCAGAGCACGGGTGTATTCCCTCCTCCGGCGGTGATTCAGGGCCGCAAGGGGGGGATTCACGAAGGGTAAATGTGGCTCGCGATGGGACACGGGCGGCAAGATCAGAGCTCCGAAGTGCAGGCACAGCGCACTCAGCAAGAGCCGAGTGCGGGCGCAAGGCCCGTCGGAAAGGGGCGGCATTGTCGAATCAGGACCACTCTACCGAATGAGTAAGTTTGTTTCAGTCTGGGTTTCCATCAGCAAGCATGTCACAGATACGAGTGCGGCTACGGTTAGGGATCCTGAAGCTTTTGGCAAATGAAACTTCAAGCGGCAACAGAGCGACCGCGACCCCATTTGCGCTTCCTCTGGCCGCTTCACGACCTCAGTCAGCCCACGAGCGCACCGGGTGGGGAACAGCGTCTTGTGCCTCCCTGCCAGCCACAGTCCAAAGCGGTGAGCTCGCTGCGAGCTTGGCAGCCAAAGGGGAAACACACTTGCCCGCAATGCAAGTCGCATCTCACCTGCTCCTATGGGGTCCTGCGGCCGGTCTCTGGTTCTTCAAGGATGGACTTGGAAGTGCAAACATCCCTTTATCCCTCCCAGACCACGCTGGATTGCAGGGGGGACGGTCCCCCGGCAGCTTTTCCAGGGAGGACCGGAACACACCTGGCGAACTCAAGGACCACGGTTTTGGCGGGTCAAGGCCGTGGTTTTTGGGGGTGCCTCGCCTCGGCCGGAGACCACCCTTCCCCTTCCACCTGCCAACACGCGTACTTCCAACGCCCTAACACACCCTTGAACCTCCCTGCCCAGACTTCGGCAAACGCAACCCCCCCCCCCACACACACACCACAACAAAAAGACTGACACAACAGCAACAGCCACAATACCGACGTCCGTAACCCAAAACCACTCCAAACCACAACCGCTCGGAGCCGCCATCACAGATTGAACTCAAAGCTCAGGCGGCAGGTTTCCTTATTGACGCCTGCGGGGTCGGCGGCTTGAGCCGGGCTCTTCGCTTGTCTTCGCGTTTGAGAGACAGCCAACGACATGAACGGCAATGTCTGGCAGAATAACCTAGATTCTCCGAAGGATCTAAATTTGAAATTTTGGACACGGGTCATACGTTTGATTTGAGACATGTGCTAGCTAGGATGCAACGTCGACAACTCAGCTTTGATTTGACACCTCGAGTCTGCTGGTCGATTTTTCTCAGAGGCCCGAACCCACACGAGAGTTCGCCCCAGAGTTCGGACAAGTGGCCTCTTGATGCTACAGCGACAATTACAAGCCCTCTTAGGGGGAGAGACATCTTGCTCGACACGGGCTCCTGGGAGACCCTAATCGTCGAGAGTCAGCGTATGACCCTTCGTGTAGACGCCTTGTTTCACAGACTCAGACCCACTGCAGATTGCATACTGAGCTTATCATATCGTTCAGCCTGAACGCTGGAGTGTTTCGACTGCAGAATCAAGAGCCTTTGCTTGAAGTTTCGCATGGGTGTGAGAAAGGTCCGGACGGAGTAGTGCCAGCAGCCGCGTGATGTAGCTGCATCAGCTCCTGCTCACATGGGCAAAGGCTTTAGCTACGAAGTAACGAAAGAAGTCCTGTATGACGACTCTTTCGTCCAGAACGGACCATTCTGCTGCTCCACCTGCCCAGCTTTCACTGCCCTTGAGGCTCCGTCGTTCAAGTCCGCACCTCTGCGGCGACCAGCTTGCCTGTCCAAATATTGATGGTGCTGCGGGGGTGTGGCCTTTGGCAAAGAAGGTCATCTTGCACTACAACACGCACCGAAACGACAAAGCCTTGAGAGCAACGAAGCACTGAACTGCGCAAACTCACCCAGCAGGCGCCGAATTTCCCTTCCACGTCGACATCGGGTTAGCGGCAACGGATACTTCACGTCAACAAACTCCCAAAGTCGCGCGAGCCTCTCTGTCGTGGGGACCGACTCGTCTGCAGGTCTCGAACCTGATGATGTCAGCGAAATCAAACTATCATTTCCACACCGTTTGCTCTTGCCTGGCAGTTGCTGCAGTGGAGGCCTACGCAAAGACAGGGCACATTCACAGCTCAGAGACCCGGCAAGCAGGGTCGTGACTGCTTTGAGTGATTGAACAACATCTTTCCTCGACAACCCGCAGTCCTCACAGCACACAGGATCAGTACTGCGCTGCATTCAGAGAACTCCTACATTCAGATGATTTCTCGCAGCCACAGGAGAACAACATGTCTCGCTGCAAAATCCAGAAATGGGACGAGAATGGGGGCTGTGTTCGAAGGCGGAGCTATGGAGACAGTCGGTATGCTCTCGGAATGTTGCGATACGCGAAATATTCTGCAGCAAAGGTTTCGAATTTTTCCAGTGGTATAAAGCAAGAATTTGTCCGGTCAGGAATGTCCTCAAGCATGCTTTCTGCAGCGACGCAAACCAGAACAGCATCCACTTTGCGCTCCCTCCCGGGGAAGTCCGACCCGTAGTTCCTCTGCAGCTGTGCTGTCTGAAAGGCTGGAAAGACCTCGCGCCAGAGCCTGGCACTCGCACCACTTGGTGCACCCGCTTGCAGCTCCGAAAGACCGTCCAGGGGACTCATCTTGGAAAAGAAAACCCCCCCTCCCTTGTACCCTCCACGTGATAGTCTAAGACCCAATCGACCTTTGACAACAGCTGCGGCGCTGGCAAGATCAGTGTAGTGGTATAAAACACGCTCTGTCCGCGCGGCTCTGCTAGCAACAGCATCGAGGGTGCTTTTGAAAAACGAAAGCTCCCAGTTGGTTGCATCCTCTATGTAATCTGCTCCCAGACCAAGACGCACAGTGGCCTCGCGTTCCTGAATATCTTCCTGTTCACCCCGGCCAAGCCAGCCAGCCCAACCCATCAAACCTAATGAAGCGCTGCTCATCCGCAAGAGCTGAGCTCGCTCTACGTCCATCGGGTCGGAAGCTCGAGCACAAACTCGAAGACGTTGACCAACATGCCACCTTCGCTCTCTGGGCAGCTTCCAGCCATGTGATGAGAAGCTCCGTGCTGGCATCAACGACAATGTCGTAGCGGTGCAAATAAAAGATGCAAGAGCAGGCCGAAAAAACGTCATCCATCGTGCCATGGCTTTACTGCAAATGTGCACCTCACTTTCGGCTTCACGATCCTGAACCCGACTTCAATACAACGCGACAGATCTGAGCTGAACACCTGCGGATTCGACAACACCTGACTTCGTCCTGAAACGAATCATTCTCAGCAAGCTTCTGAGCATGTGATTTGACGAATCCACGCTTCTTCGCATCGGCGCTTATGGGCTACTCTACATGCTCAGCCTCTTCAACTTGCACACAACTCCTCCATAGCTAAGCTCCTCGCAACATGTGCTTCTGCTGCAGGAAGAAAACGACCAACAAAGTCCAGTTGTGGAGGCCTTGACTCTTGACTCGGGCTCAGGGGTTGGGGGAGGAGCACCCTAAGCCTGTTGTTCGAAGGTGGAGACAGCGGCACCGGACCCAAAGCCTCAGGCGCCAGACTTCCGCCAGCACTCAGAGGAACGCAGTCCGCCATCGCTGATCCGCACTCTGACCCTCCCTTCGCCCTTCCTGGAATGCACTTGCACTTTCTGAGCAGATGGACTTCACTCGACGGATCAATGGTCGAGCATACGGCGTCAAAGATAATGCGTCCCTGTCCAAAGCTGCACTGTAGCTGTGAAGGAGGCAAAAGGGGACACCGATACCTCCCAGAAGGAACCCTAGTTTTAATCAAGCCAGCCCGGGCCGTAAAATCGAGTCGAAGACGCCCGTGTGCTCATCCCCTTCAAAGATCGCAATCTCCTGAAACTCTTGCACGACGTGGAACGAAGGCTTTGCAAGCGACACTACCATGGGCCTGTCTTGCCCCATGAGGACCGCCGAAATTGGAGGCCACCAGCCTCCCGGTGCACAGAGACTGGGCTGGTTCAACTGCATCGGCACCGGCTCGCGGCTGACCTGAATCCGGGGGATATCGCATCCTGAAAGAAAGTCAAACTGGGTCCAGCTCCGCCAGCTCGGCGTCTCAAAATGCGCACGAATTCATTCACCTTTGAAGCAGCTTCGAGCTTCTATGAGCGTCTGCAGTCCGAATCAGCTGATGGTCAAGGCATTGCTTCTTGCATCCGCGACACTATGCCCGTGACGGCTGGGGGCATCTCGAGGCCCGGAGGCCTGGGAATTGCGACAAAATGAACTTTCCATGCTGATGCTTTTTGCACATTTTTTGGGCTGCTTGCTCTCTTTTGACCAGCGCCAAATCCAAGATAGCAGGTGCCAAGCCGGTGTCTGACAGGCATGCAGTGGCGATCACAAAACAGGCTCAGAGTGCCTTTGAGAAGATCCCTCCTCTCCTGAAATGAAAGAACCGAAGGGCCGCAGAGTCCATCCTCGGTTTTTGCAGTCACACTTGCGAAAAAGGAAAGCACAAAAGTACACCAATGCAGTGCACGGCCCCACGAGCTCGGCACCTCTCGGCAACTCCTCCAAAGCAATTTTCTAAAGCGTCAGAATCAGCTGCCAGCACGATGGATCAAAAGCCAAAGCCTCGAAAGTTGAAAGTTGAAAAAGATGCAACGAACTCACTCACCTGAGGCGATGACAGATTCCATACTGCAAGAAGCTGAGATGCCCTTCGGTCACTCGAATTAAGCCTTGCTCTGGAACCGAAACACATGCGTATGTGACCTACACATGCAGTTGCTGAGAAGAAGTGCAAATAATCGCCCAATGTCTTTTACAAGTCTGCACACGCAGCACGTAGCAACCGTGTATGGCTTAGTACCGAATCTTTCTCCGCACTACCTGATTCTACCTGTACGCGGCACCTCGCAAGGCATTGCACCTGAACAATTGGGCCGAAAGAAAAGTAGTCAAAGATGTGGCGAAGGCATGTCCAGAAGGCAAAAATTGACGGCACCGGCACTTGGACAAGCGTGAATCACGCAACCAAGGAATGGTTTCAACCCACGTGGAACAATGTTGCATCACCGTTGCTGTGGTCTGTTTCCAACCGAAAAATTCCGTTTCATACATACTGCACCTGTTCCCCTTAGAGCTTGTTGCTTTGCCACGCCGCCAGAGCTTCAAAACAAGACACCTAAAAATTCACTTCGTGCTGTCAGGTGGACACACAGTATGGAATCTGATCAACATACGTTTTTTTGCGGAATTTCATCGTCCTCATCAACCAGCCCCCGGCCGCATTCAGCACATTACTAATGCTACACACTGAATATGTACTCGCCCCCCGTTCCCAAGATCCATCGTGTTCGCCTTTCTGTTCCATCTTTCAACAACAACGTCTCGATTTCTTGACAACAATCACGAAGAAACATTCTATATCGTCTATATCGACACGAAACAAGATGGCTTTTGAAAGTCCAAGAGCGCGAAATGAATGTTTTTGATCCTCGGAAAGTGCATCGGTGATCGATCCCTGTGCAGGCTATCAGACACGAGCTCATCTCAACGTTTGCGATTTCGAACTGTTGCATTGAATCAAAAGACCTGTTGTACCACTTCATACGACAAACTGATTTTGTTTCCTTCTGGACAAAAAGGCAAACAACAAGCGCAAGGGGGTTGGCCCATATCTTTCGGGGCGAATGGAGAGCTGCCTCATTTGTGCGAATGCATTCATCTGGTTCAACCGGGCTTCTGTTTCCCAGAGGGCAGGGTTCAGAGGAAGGTTCACAATGAAGCACGGGTGGGTGCCCTCAGGTCAAACCGATATGCCACGCGCCAACAAACATCAGTGGCACAGAGCCAGGCTGGAAACAACTCCAGGTACGGCGCAGCGATTGTCATTTTGTTTTTTATTTTCGTATTGGCCTCTGCCTTGTCGTTTGGGCTCCCCTGTGATTCGTGTTTTCCGTGTCTTTTCTTCACCGCTTTCTTTGCAACGTCTCATAAATCTGTTTCTTCTCTCTGTTTTTTTCGAAAAATGTACAGAATATACACATGTCTATACATGAGTCCAACGCCCTTCGGGTCCATCTGGCAACTTTTTACTGAATGCAAAATCAATCTTTTAAATCAAACCAACCGTTTGCCTACACCTAGTTTCCAACAATGCAAGCAACGTAATCTTTCCAAGCATTGCTTACACTCCTCTCACGAATTCTATCATACACAAGTTACCACCAATGCAAACTAATCCTGCAAAGTGCTGCCTACACCCTATCACAAAGAATCCTGACAAGTCACCACCGATACGATTGAAATTTCTTTGCGGACCAGGGCTGAGTCTTTTTTGGTCAG